GGGGTGGGCGGGGAGAAGGGTGCAACAATGAATGAATGGAATTCCAAAATCTCTGTAGATGTTCATTGAAATGAAAAATAAATAAATTTTTTAAAAAAAGTTGTAACTCAAACAAACCTTCCTATCACATATCACCTCTATTATTCTCTTCCACTTTATGGAACAATGAATCCAGGCTCTATAGGGTCTTTGTGATCATGAGTAAAGTCAACTCTCAAACAAAATTCATGATTATCGATTCTAACTTACAGCAACCCTGCAGTGGATTTCTGAGATTGTGTATCTTTTTATAAAAAAAGATTTCTTTTTTTATTAATGATTTTTTTAAATGTTGTTGCTGTTGTTATATGCCGTCGAGTCACCTGCGACTCATGACGACTTATTTATAAGTGCTCTAAATCCTGCTCTATCCTGTGCCAACCTCACTGTCTCCAACATACCTACTCCCACCACCCAAATCACAGGATCGTTCCATCTCATCAAGGGTCTTTTTCTGCACAGTCCCTCCACTCTCTCAAACATGATGTCCCTCTCCAAGAACTGGTCCCTCCTTGCAACATGCCCAAAGTACGCCAGGAGATTTTTACAGCATATTCTCTCCACTTAATTTTTTCCCCATTCATTCATTGTTGCACATTTTCCTCCCTGCCCACCCCTCCCCCTCAGTTGGTTTTTCTCTTTGAAGAACAAAAAAAGTTCTTTCATTGTTATACAATCCCCCTCCCACCCCCACCCCCACCAGAAAACTATGTAAGAGACTGGAAATCTTAACATGAGTTGAGGAGTCTACCCGTCCATCCCACAGAGTAGTTGATGAAGTCAAGTCCCTACCCCATACCTCCATGCTCTCTGGCCACACTGCAGCAAATGAGAAACTGCATGGCTCTGTCTAAATCAGACTTTGTAATTTCCTTTCTTTTTTATACTTTTTTTTTTGGTGTGGGTCATATCTTAAACCATCCTGCCTTAACGTATGCTATGGGTAGATATTCGTAATAATGAAAGCATCATCAATGACTTTTCCTTTAAACATGACAATAAATTTGCAATCATTCATCTACTTTCTCAAACAACCTAATACTAATACTTCTAATTGAAACGAATGGATTTGCATATAAATGAGACCTATGATTTTGTTGATATAATGCCCCAACCAACTGTGCTAAGCACTTGGTCAAACTATTTTAGGATCATTACAGAACCCTGGGGGACCTAATGGTTGTAAGAAGTTGTACTGCCAATCCAGGGCATGTAGTTCAAATCTACCAGCTGCTCTGAGGGAGAAAGAGAGGCAATCTCCTCCCCTGCTATTTAACAGCCTCAAAAACCCACAGCAGGATCAGCTTTAAGGAATCTGTTGCAACTTGACAACACATAAGAACAACACAACTTTTCTTGCATAAAGTGAGGAAGGTTTGAAGCACTTACTGAAGAAGATCAAAGACCCTTCAATATGGATTACATCTCAACATAAAAAAAAAAACCAAAGATCCTCACCACTGCACCAATAGGCAACATCATGATAGATGGAGAAAAGACTAAAGTTGTGGACAATTTCACTTTACTTGGATCTACAATCAACATCTATAATAGTAGCAGCCAAAGACATGCCGAATTGAGAAAATATGTTGTCAAAGAATGCTCCAAAGTGCTAAAGGGCAACACTAGTTTAAAGACTAAGCTGTTCTACTCAAAGCCACAGTATTTTCAATTGGTTCCTATGGACTGAAAGTGAGATAATGATTAAGAATGGCAGAATTGGTGCTTCTGAATTGTTGTGCTGGCAAAAAGTACTGAATCTTCTATGGTTACCAAAAGTCAGTCAGCTCTGGAGGAAGTGCAACCAGGGTGCTCCTTAAGGCAAGGACAGCTAAACTTCCTCTCCCATACTTTGGGAGTATTGTCAGAAATGGCCAGTCCTTGGAAAAAGACATCATGCTGGAAAAGGTGGAAGGTCAGAGAAAAAAAAAAAAGACCCTCAACAAGATGGACTAACACAGCGACAGTAACAACGGCTCAAGTATGGCTGGCACAAGGTGGTCAAGGTTCTGAGTTGTTCACAGCATCACTGTCAGTCATAATTGATGACATATAACAACTATTATAAGGGAGCTCTGGTGCCACTGTTAGTAGGGAATAGTGCCATCACTCCGTGGTTGTTTGAATCCACTAGCTGATCTGCAGGACAAAGACTAGTAATCTCCTCCTGGTGGATTTACAAGTTCAGAGAACCCAATGGAGGGTCAGTTATGAGTCAGTTGTGACTTGACAGCACTGAGTTTGAGCCTGAGGTGAGTGGTAATCTGCTTCTGAAAGGTTACAATCTTGAAAACCTTAGGGAGCAGGTGTATTTTGCATATATGACTAACTCACTCTCATAGCTGACTCTCCATAGTGTTTCCTAGGCTGTACATCACATGGGAGAAGACTGCCCATCTTCCTGCCAAGGAGCTGCTGGGGGATTCAAATTGCCAGAGAAGCCCAGACACCAGAACTCCCTCTACAATATGTGGTCACTACAAATTGGCATCAACTTGACAGCAAGTAACAACAATGTATTGTAAATTCCTAATTCCCTCCTCATAAATGTGATCTTGATAGAGCATTTAATCTACCTAAGTAGGGCAAATCCTAAATCTAATCCCTTCTGAGTGGTGCTTTGCAAGTGCTCCGCTGCTAATGGAAATGGTGGTAGTTTGAACTCATTAGCTGCTGCGTAGGAGAAGAATGTGGCTGTCTACTTGTGTCAGAAAACCACTGCTGTCTATTCTGACTTATGGTGACTCTCCGCTGGGCTTCTCAGACTGTAAAGCATAATGGGAACAGATTTCCTTATTTTTCCTCTCACAAAAAGACTCATGGATTTGAACTGCCATCTTTTTAGTAAGCAGTCCAACATATAACTCACTATGTCACAACCCTGGCCAGGGTTGAAGTGGAACGGCTCAATGGCAACAGGTGTACAAACTGCATACATACTCCCTTACACAGGAGTATGTCAAGATGGAGGCAGGTAATTCTATAAGCCAAGGGATAACAATGCTAAGGATATCAGGCAGATACGAGAAGTTGAAAGAGACCAAGAGGGACCTAACAGTAGAGTCAAGTGCCCCAAGTTCAGGTGTCTAATTTCCAGTGTTGTGAGAAAATACATCTTTGTTCTTTAAAGTCACCCACTTATGGTACTCTTGTTTTTTGTACTAGGAAACAAGGACATCCACAAAAAACAAGTTTATTTTTCTCCTGTACTGGTCTTTTTTATTTTATTCAGTAATCCAAATTATAAAGATATAAGGAAAAATAAAGTGAAATACTAAAGCAATAAACAGATAAGCTATGGAAATAAACACGACCTAGATATAACCTACTGTGTTAAGAAATGCGGCAATAGTCATAAATGACACTTTATGTGCTTATTCAGGAAAAACTTACTGAGTGCTGATCCCAGGATTACGTTAGGCTTGGAAATATAAAGAGGGAGGTGGCCCCTGCCCTCACAAGACCTAAGTAAAGAATGTAAGTTGTCTGCATGTTGGTGAGGGTGAGGTAGAAGAATTAAATTTATTATTATAAAACAGAATAAATGTTTTATTGGGAATTTCCAGGTACTATAAAAGCACATAATAATCCAAAGTGTGCTGAGTAGAACTGTACTCCCGAGGATTTTTAAGATTTGAGTTTAGAAGCTGATCCCCAGCCGTTACCTCAGAGGAACCTCTCTGGGTGCGTTTTAATCTAGTATACTTTTAGTTGTTAGTCTAGCATTTATGCCACCTAGGGATCTGGACTTGACTTAATGGCAACTGTTGTTGTTGACTGCCATCAAGTCAAGTACGACCCTATGAACAAAAGGCCTGCAGCCTTTCTGTAACTATTGTCATTTGTCAAAGTTCACAGAGTTTCCAGAGGCATGTTGTTTAGGAAGTGGATGCAGACATAAAAGCACATAGTTTGGTCACTGAATTCCAGAGTGATGAGGGTCAGAAGGCCTCCCACCAGAGACAACATCTACACTTAATCTTCATTTTTTTCCATAAATACACAGAGGTTGTTTTTTTTTTACTGATAATAGCACATGCTAATAAGATAATTTCTAATACTCCTCGTGAAAGTATTAGCTGGAAATTTATATCAAAACAAGTTATAGTTATGGAATAAAATGCAGTAAGAAATTTACCAGAGGTATAGTAAGAATTAACATTTGGACAAAATTTTCATAACTAAACTGTATTACTTCAAACAACTTTTTCTGTTTTTTTAATGACCATTTTTGTCATTCATATGCACTGTGTTTCATCCACAGTGTTTTATACAATCTTTCATTTACATTATATTTTGTCCATGTATATGGTGGGCTCTTTCTGCCCCTTACAATCATCTTACTAATAACTAACTGCAATTGTGAAAGCAT